ACAAAGGAAGAATCGTAAGACTATTTCCAGAAATCTAATATCATATTGAACCTGAAATAAAAATCAAAATAAAATAGAAAAATATCATCCTGACACAATATACGAAAGGACCCATATAGAAAGTCTTTTCTTCACGTAAGTTCATTCTACTAATATACTCTGTTCGTATATAATTAGTCTAAATCAAATAGCCATGAACATAATCAAAAGCTTCATTTACTCTTCTTCTCTTCCTCCAGGTTCTCTACCGACATCTCTGTTTCTTGTTTTAATTTTCCGTCAACTGCTTTACGGCGTCGCATCGAAGAAATTTTATTCGCAGCCATGTTCAGCTTATTGCTGCAAGCAAAAACATATTTCGAAATCAAAACAGAAGTCACAGTGCAAAGACAATGATTAATTAAGCTTTCATTATTAATTTATGATAAGTTAGTCTTAGTTTCGATAATTTCAACATCGAGCTCATTCTGATTAATGACATGTAATAATTTCAAATATGCATCAAGTTAAAAATACTTACGCCCACTTATTATCTCCATGCAACAACTTATCGGCATCCTCAGGTAGCCGCAATTTTCCCCTGGATCCACACAACTCTACCTCAACAATGTAGTTGTTCTGCACCGGTTTCAGTGAACGGCATTTCCAATTTATGGAATTAAGATCAAACGGACTTGGCATATGAATCTGAAAAAAGATATTTACTCTCATCAAATTTCACATACTCCTATATATATATTTGTTTCCAACAAAGGTATAAATTGTCAGATTAGATGTAAATATTAATATTAGACACTTACCTAATAGCTTAAGCTTTTAGGTATAGTTAACATATCATCAAAGTGAAATGAATAACCAACATTCAATTTAAATGCTCATTCTCGTTCTAGTTAACATATCATCAAAGTGAAATGAATAACCAACATTCAATTTAAATGCTCACGTTATTCATACCTCCAAACTGTGAAGTTGTTCTAAATTGAAGAATGGACGACTATTGGACGGAAACCATCTCTGGAACGCCACGGACTCCAACATCCGAAACGGTGTCTTTTTAAGAGGCAAGCGTAAGGATTTTAAAATGGCCACAAATTTTTGGACAATCTCGAGTCTCCTTGCATTTTCGGTAGAAACCGTCTGAAAGAAATAATGTACAAGTTAATAACTTAAAAGTAATGAAAAATTCTTGGAATCACAAAATTTTATAGAATAATATTTCTCATTACTAAGCAAACTAATTATTAAATATATTCAAATGCTCACATCCATACCTCCATTAATTGAAGCTCATTCTCATCAACTCGAAGCTCATTCTCATCAACCAGAAGCTCATTCTCATTAACTTGAAGCTCATTCTCATATTCATTTCCGAGCCTTGAAGAACCAATAATGTTTTCATCCTTTCTGAAAATGAAAACAGCAGCAACAATAGCAAAGACTAGTAGCAAAACTTGTGCTGTATAACTGTTGCTGATCTTGATGCCCAAAACTGCCAGAAATGTAGCAATCAACTGAACCACTGAGAAGCCAATCTCCACCACCCCAAGTTGCTTCTCAGCATGTACTCTGGGTCTTTCCAGCATACAAGTTAAAACTGTTATCGCAAAACCAAATACTGATAAGAGAAATGCAGCAAGAAGGATACTCCTGCGGCTTTGCCCAAACACATCCAAAGCCAATGATATTATTTCCAACATAACGAAAAACACCGCAAGTGCACGCTGCTTACGTTCACAAAGTAACTCACATCCCTACAACAATAATTTTAAGAGACTCAAGATATATGATATATTTCAAAACCAAAGAACTAAAAATAGAGCGAAAGTGCTCTAACAAAGCTAAAATTTTCTGGACACTTTTGTGTATAAAGAACACTACAGTACAGATATTTTGTTCAGCTTATTTGTTTGCTGAAATCTTTTCCATCAAATTTGTTTCTAACTTTTCAGGATAACTTTTAATAGCCAATATGAAAGCCCAACAAGTAACTTCATATACTTCCAAGTTAATTAACATAACACAAGTTAAAAGAAATTAGGTAAGTTAAAAAAACAAACAGCTGTAAATATAAAATAACAGCAGATTAACAATACCAAAAATTAATTTACTGTCAGGCTCCACAATTCTTCACCTAAACCGTGGAGAATAATATAGTCTTGTTAACAGTTTCAATACAGGTACAGTTCTGAAAATTCGAATTGGGAAATAATTTTAAGTAATATTTTTGGAACTTGGGTGCAGGATTTATATTAATATGAATAACTGGTGTGTCAAAAGCCCTTGATAATTTGCTTAATGCTCACCAGGCAGACCAAAAAGCAGATGGATGAAAAGAGATCCAGATCATTAGACAAATGGCTTCTGTGTCTCCAAATCACGTTCCTTCTTCTTCGGATACCATGTCTATTTCCTTCGATGTCCATTACTTCTGATCTCTGAGGCATTGAACACACTGTCAATTCTTTCTATTCTGTTACCAGAAACCGTGTGGGTGTAGAGTAAAGGTAAACAGAGAGATGGTTAATGTTTTTAGATACATTTTCTCAGAGGAAAGTGCGAGGAGGCTTCAAAGAGAGTTGAAGGAAATTCTCAAACTCGATAGAATAATCGAAATTCGAAATTAAAAACTCAGATGTCAAAATCAGTATTAAATTATCAAGTTAAAACAAACTCATATTTTTCAGATACTTGAAGTCATATGATGTATTCAAAACCAAAGACTAAAAGGCTCCTCTGAAACATCAATCTTGCTTTAATAGATATCTCAACCTTATACAATATTGTCATGACTCATGTGTAGCCTTTGGTTCATATCAGTAGACTGTTGGCTGTAATTTCAGCCAAGACTGTATAAAAAGTTCACAAAAAAAAAGAGAGTGAAAGCGCTGCTATAAAATTGAAATTTTCTCTGTTAAAATTTTGAATGAGTATAGACATGAAGGTGTGTGCCCAAGGATCTTTAGTGGATATCTGAGATGGATATTGGAGCTAAAGAAGTTAACACTAGAATATGATTGATCTTAGTTGCTTCTGCAGAGCTCTATATAACTAAATCATATGATGGAGATTACACATGAGAGGCTTTGTTGCATTGCCTCCTCTGATACATGAGAGCATTGTTCAATGGGCAATAGGCAGCTTGTAACGGATCCCACCTGCCCAATTGTGGGTCTCATCTAACCAATTGCGAGCTGCCGATGGTGAGAAAAAATTTGTAAGATTGGATTGTGAACCAATCTTTATTGTTGTTCAATTATCTCTTCATATAAAATATAGAGATTAACAACTGTTTATAGTAGTGCTTCAGAAACTTAAGAGACAACAAGTAATCTCTTCATTACAAGAATTTCTAAAAACAAACTAGAATTTTAAAAGTCTTACAATAAAATAAAAAGACATTCACTAGAAAATCCTAGTGTTTTGAAATTAAATTCCAAAATTCTACATAAACCAAAGAGAAAACAGAGGAATAATGAAAGAACAAAGTGACAGTCTCCACAATCCTTCATATCAACGATGTAGGATAATATAACTAGTCCTTTAATTTCACAGCTTCAATATAAACAAGTAATACTCTGAAAACTTGACCTGGAAGAGAACCTGATAGACCAAATAGTAGATAGGTGAAATGAGATCAATGGACAAGCAGCATATGTCCCTTAAAACAACTTTACTTCCTTCTTTGCTGACAACATCTATGGCCTTCAATAACTATGCTTCTAATCTCTATTATTCGGCGACAATGTTTGTTTCCTTCAAAGTCCATACTCCATGGCTCTGAAACACATTGTAAATCCCCCCTACTCTGTTATCAGAAAGCAGAAATCGAGTGGAAGGGAAAATAATTACGATGAGTAAAGGGAAAGAGAACGAAATGGTTGATTAAGCAAATATACAAGAATACATTTGATCAAAGGAGAGTTCAAAGAAAGCACACCGTCAATTCTCCCTTATTCTTTTAGCAGAATCCATGTAGGTGGAGAGTAAAGGTAAAGAGAAAGAGATGATTCTTTGCTCAAAGCAAAGTGGGAGGAGGGTTGAAAGAAAAAAAATACAAAGAAAGTCCTTAAAACAATATTAATGAATAATGAGAAGGCAAACGGGGATGGACTCAGGAGACCTACTGCTCCTTACGACGTGTGATATATGAGGAGGAGGGAGGAGGCAATGAGGATGGACTCAACAGGAGACCTACTAGTACTACTCCTGTGGACGATCAGGAGGGAGACTGTCCAAAGTTTGTTCTCTGTTCATGATGAACCAGCCAAAGATACTATCCTTCAATTTCAGACCCGACAAATGTTATTAAAATATACAAGGAAGATTAATAATCTTCAATGATCTCTTTCTTTAATATAGTTTGTGTTCATCTCCAAGCAATTTGGAAAACTGATTTGAATTTAAAGCATAATGATTCATGTATAAACACAAAATCATCTAAAACTTATTCCATTCTATATAGTTTTGTATACATAAAATTATAATACATTTGCAATTTTTTTACGTGAATCATGTGATATATCTAAATGATTAATTAATATTTAAGAAATTGAAATTTTTAGTCTGAGACCCACGTCTATAAATTGAAAGGTCAAATGATCAATTCTGCAACCCGTTATTAGAAGCTCTTCCTTCAGAATGAATTCTTATCCAAAAATTCTGAACTCAATCCAAGATCGTCCACGTTTTCGATAGTTTCACTCTCCCCTCCCGACCACATTTTTTTTTTTTCCTTTTTTAAAAAACCCCTCTCCTAGGTTGAATTGCCGAAACAAGAACTTCGTCGCATTTTCACATGTCAATAATTATTATTTTTTTAATTTGATGATTTCTACAAAGGTGCTGGGTCATTAATTGGGCTTAAGAGTATTTAGAAAGTTTTCGATATGAATTTTAGGCCCATTTCAACTGCCCATCTGGATCTGGATCTGGATCCAACATCTTTAGGATCCAAAATTCTCAAATTTCTGAATCGGGTACCCGACCGGACCATATTCGCTGACTTCTCCTCCTTCTTGAATCTTTCACTTTGTTAACTCTACACAAAGTCTTCGTGTTTTAATGCCTCATGTTAGAGCGTCTTAATCCGAGAATCAGATTTTATGGCCCGAAGGGTTTATGGATTCTTTATTTTGTTAATCTTTTTCAATCTTCTGATCAGCTTTTCTAATGGTAAACCACCTATTTTCTCTTTCTCTATTATGAGTTATTCATTCCTTTGGCCTTTGTATGTTGTTCTTACATGATTTTGTGATAAACCCTTTTTGGCTTTATGTACATGGGTAATGAAATTCATGTCAAATTCATTACTTGATATTTATATGCATGTTCTGGAGTTTCATTCATGATTATGGGCTGGTGTTTAATTTAATTTTTTGTTATCAATTAGTGATTTTTAAGTACAGTTGTTTGATAGGAATGAGCAAAAGAAGAGGAAAATTTTGCTATTTTTTATTTTTTGTGGTGTAACGATTAGCCTTGTTAAACATTAAGAGAGCTTCTTTGTCTGTGTTTTAGATTGGGATCTGGGAAACTTTGATTTTTAGTTGTTTGGAGAAGTTTTAGTTAGGAAAACCTCACATGTCTGATAATCTCTCTCTGAATTTTTCTTTCTCAAATTTGGTCAGTTGGTAGTTATTTCGAGTCTAGTATAAATGTTCTCGAAAGTAATGCTTCAATGTTTGATTAACTCGGCATAAAGTTAAGTAGCTTGCATAATTTATACTATTATATCAGGAAGACAATATTAGATAATAGGAATTAGGATGTTGACAAATTTGTTAATAGTTAGATACACATGCACCCCTCCTTGCAGGAAAAGAATAGTTCTGGAAGCAAATTTTTGCAAATTTTAAGGGAGGAGTTCTGGATTGTCGCGGAACACTTGTATCATTATTGTAAACGTGAGCACATCATAACACCATACTTAAGCTGAACTGCTGAAGTCTTTAGGACTCTACTCTGAATTTAGTTGTATATCATACTCTGAATGCATTCAGGGCTGGCATATAAATGCGACTACGTATGCTATTTGGTCTCTTGATGGTTGCTAAAGATTTTTTCTGTGAAGTTTCTTTTTGTATTCTCTGACCTCTTGAATTCTTTGCATTATTGTTTGCAGGAAACTCTAGTGGGCTGTGCATTTCTCAAGGTGGTCGTTTCCCACCATTTTCATCTGAAGGGAAACCTCCAAAAAAGGTAAGCAAGGGACGCAATGATTTGACCCTTTGTAGGGTGTTCCGCAAAAAGACTTGCTGTGATGTTACCCAGACACATGCTGCTTTACTATCCATAAGGAGGCTGGCTTCAAGGGGAGAGGCCAACCAAGAGTGCTTGCACCTCTGGGAATTATTGGAATGTTCAATTTGTGATCCAAGTGTTGGCGTTCAACCTGGACCCCCTCTTATATGTGCCTCATTCTGTGACAGAGTCTATGAAGCGTGCTCTAATGCTTACTTCTCTATGGATGCTAAGACACAGGTATGTGTCTAATTTCTTGAGACATGAAATAAGTTGGTGAATGGACTAGGGTTTTGACATTTTGGTGTTTTACTTAATCATATATTTAAGAATTTCATTTGCAAACCTATCTTCTATTGACACTTGCACAAACTAAACCATATGTTTATGAGGCCAAGAATGATTGTTTTAGCTTCATTGGTGTTTCCATCACCAATAAGTTTAGGAGCTTATAACTTGGCTTAGTTAATAAGTATGTTAAACCCTTCCTTTTAAATTTGTGCACTGCTGTTCCTAATAGATTAATCCACATGTTAAAAATGGGAGTTTTAATATATTATCTCCTGAGGAATGTTTGGAACAATTGACAAGTTGGTACTATACTATGTCTGTGTCACTTGTATATTTGTTGAAAGGAAAGTGAGAGGTTGACATAGAAAGTAGAAAAGTGAGCATTTTTAGCATTTCTCTTTTTTCCAAAGGCTTGATAATATCAATTTTCCTGATGAGAATTTCACTTGCTAGGTTTTAGCACCATGTGGAGTAAACGAGTTTGTTTGTGGTAGAGCTGCCGAATGGGTCACTAACGGCACTGAGCTCTGCCGCACTGCAGGTTTTGCTGTTAAACTGCCAGAAGACATTTACACTGACCTAGAAGAAGCATCTTGCTATGGTGGTAAAGCAAGTTTGGATAAGATTGCTGACTCATGGAGAGCTTCACGATCTGAGGTGCCCCAGAAACCTAACAAGCTCAGTCTGTTAGAAGATTTCCTGCAGAGGCTGCAGGTTATGCCATTCAGCGACAGAGTTTCTTGGGCAGTGGGGGGAATGGTTCTTACAGCGGGACTATTGTTTGTGAGGTGAGGCAACTATTATGTTGTGTTGCCTATATCATAACACATTCTCATTATCACATTCTTTGATGGCTGACTTCCTTAAGTTGATGGTTTGTTTTCCTGTGCTGAATTTCCTTAATTTTCTGGTCGTCATTTCAACCTCTAGTTGTCTTACTTTCGCATATATTAATAATTTCAAGCAGTTACCTTTCTATTAATAATTGCCCGTTGTATGTAATCTATTCATGCTTCCCTCTTACTGAAGGAATTGTGATTAGGCCTACAACTGATCAGTTCAGTGTCATTAGGGTTGTGTTGGTGATTAGTTCCTTACTTATGTGTTCCCATGTTTTTCTTTGATTATCCAGTAATAGAAAGAGCCATAATCAACGTCAAAAACTGGCTGCTATTCAACGCACAGCAAGGAAACTGGAAGGCAAGATGAACCAAGCATCTCCTGTTAGTCAGGGAAATAGGAGAGGTGGTCGGCGGTAAATGCCTCCTTGTATGTAACATAGTTATCCATGTTAATTTCCAGGTTCTGTGATGAATGAATTATGATCAAGTACATTAATACATTTAATTTTAGATAAGAAATGTGTTATTTTTGGGATTGTATATCCATGATGTGAAGCCCTCATTTCCACTTTTGACAAGTTATAAGCAAATTTTTGGAGGCACTAGAAGCTATTATACCTGACATTTTGAGTTTGTCACTTTTCTTATATTTTAGCTTCTATACCTCTCCAAGCTGGTTTTTAAGGGTCTTCAGTATATCTTTGATCTAGAGCTGGAACAACACATGTAGACTTTGAGTCTTATATTTGCTTTAATAAATTAATATAATTTCCCACCCATGGGTAGCCCGGGGCGAACCAAGGGGGTTGCAACACATAATCTTAGGTTAGTATCTTTGCCTATGATTTACGTAAGAAGTCATGATGGTGGATTGCTGTAGGATAGCTCTCCTAAGAATTAGTTAAAATATGCGTAAACTGGTTTGGACAACTTAATTATTAAAAATAATAATACTAATAATTTACTGATAAACTATTATTCTCGTTGAATGCCAAAACAATTGATTCTTCTTACTGCTGGAAATGTAATACAATTACTGTAAAGTTAAAGATTAGACTTAAATGAAACATCGCATGTTTTGTACAGAATTTAGCTGTTTAATGAGGCATGCTGCTAATAAGAGAGACCTGAGCAAACCACAAATGGTATATATAATTTACAAATACTGAAACAAGAACCAAGGCAGGACATTTCTCAAATCATTTCCAACCCAATCAGCTGCTGCAAAAAGAGATCAAAGGATGCCAAACGCAAAAAATTCCGTTTCTTGCATTGAAGATTTTTGTGTACCGTTGATTTACAGATTCTTTTTTCAGAACACTTCCGGTTGCAATTAATTTATGGACACTCCGCTCGTTGAAAGGCTGAGTTCTATGTCTTAACAGAATCAAACTCTAGCATGAATCAAGCTTTCTGTATCTCCTATTTGAACTAAAAGAAAATCTCCAGAAATCCCTCGTTCCACATCAAGCCTTCCCAGTTTTCGGGGGCTGTTCAAAGAATAATAAAGAAATGAGGTTTAGAATCTTTAGCCAATCTAATTAAACATAACAAGGAAAGATCAAAAACCAATTAAAGCTGGAAAAACATAAGCATACTTTCTTAAGAGACATCATCCTAGAATTAGAACGGCTTGAAGATGCTCTATTATCAGCTGGCTTCAAGATCTCAAAGGAACACACAAGAGCTTCATTGACACTCAATAGAGCACCAGCATTGTCGAATTCCCCGCCATAGTTTGGAGCTGAAAAAATTGTGACTAATCTTCGCTTAGCAAAAAACTCGTATCCATCCTCCACCACCTGCCATTTGACCAAGAACAATCATAATTAGGGAGTGCGGCTGAAAAGTTCTGAGTTGCATGTTATACAAAGTAATTGGTATCAAATGTCCTACTATCATTTGGGGGATTAATGAACGAATATAAATCTATGCTAATATCTTTATTTGGCAATAACCATAAAACTAGTTTCAAATTGGATTTGAAGAAGCAAAGGTAAACTAGTTTTCATAGGCTCGAACTAACTGTGCTAAGGACCATATCATATGTCATCAATGGGGTATTCAGCCCACTAAAAAAGAAAGTGGCTTACCTGATGACCTCGGCAAATGAGATCAAGATCATTCTTTTCCAAAAAGTCAGCAACTATATCTGGTCCAAAAGTACATGAAACACCTCGATCGCTATCTGCCCAGCCCTCAATGTTAGCATCAGGGTCAGACCATAACAGATCACAGAGGAGACCATTTTCAGGAATATCAGTAGGCCTAGAGATTTGCCTTATTTGATCCAAATTTTGCAACTCTGGAGAAAGTCCCCCATGCATACAAAGTATCTTCCCATCGATGAGTGCGGCCACTGGCAAGCAATTAAAGCAGTCAGAAAATATTTTCCAAAGTCTAACATTAAATCTCCTTTTACACTCGTCATAGAATCCATAAACCCGATTGATCTTAGGGTCCTCATGGTTTCCTCTTAAGAGGTGAATTTTTTCTGGATATCTTATTTTATATGCCAAAAGCAAACATATTGTCTCCAAACTTTGCTTGCCTCGATCAACATAATCCCCAAGAAAGAGGTAGTTTGCAGCGGGAGGGTAACCACCATGTTCAAATAATCTGAGGAGGTCTAGGTATTGACCATGAATATCACCTGTAGAAGCCAGAAATCTTAGAAATAACATACACCGGTGGCAAAAAGAGAAAATAGATGATAAATGATTCCAAATATTTTCTGCAATTTTCCCCAGATTAGCATGGTAAAATAGTACACCATCCATTCAGGCAAAGTGCATTTAATTGAAAACATATCCATTTTACAGCTAATAACGAAAGATGTAACTCATGTTCATAAAGCAGAAAGCACCATTTTTAATGTTCAAACATTGCCCAACATAACCATAACAAAATTTTCTGCATAATCACAATGCAACTAATGACTAAATATTTCACACAGATTATCACAATGTTCATCAACCCAGATAAGAATTCCCAAATTCAACATCAATCATACCAACTCACAAAAAAGAAAACCGAAACTTTACATTCAATTTTACTTCAAAAAAAAGCTCCTCAAAAGATAATTTTTCTGTTGACATGGCTAACATAACCATAGCAACACTTTTGTCTAGAATTTCTTCACAATTACAATGCGACTTATAAATAAATTTAGCACACAATTTATCACAATCAACAGATAAGAATTCTTCCTCGATTCCCCATTGACAAGAAAAACAAAAAAATTACCTTCAATTTTGCTTCCATGAATGATCCTCAATAGTTTTATGCATAGCAACATTCAATATATAAAAACAATATGGTAATTTCTCATTCAATATCATGTAACTCAACAAAGTGTTTATTGCATCAAGGGAGCCAGAAAGTGATAGAAAGCTGACCACATATTCGAATAGGAGCATGAATCTCGAGAAGATTAGGCTGAGATAAGAAGATTTGGCGAGCGTTGACACAAAGTTGGCGGATCTCTCCCTCTGATAATTGCACCTGCTTGCCCCCTCTGCCCTCCAATAGCCTTCTTATTATATCATCCAATACTGCTTTATCCATCATCCCTTCCATTGTCATCATCATCATTTTTATCTTCAATTCAAATCAAACCAACCAAGTCTCAACGGACACAATCACAAATGAATTCTTCAATTACAAGAATATTGAACAGAAGGGTATCGAGAAAATTGGAAAAAAAAAGGTAACACAAATGAATCAAAGATCAAATTTTCAGGGAGTCAACAAGAGAAAGGGACAACCTTTGAGATAAATAGATCAAAAGCTTCAACTTTTCAACAAGAAGTCTGCTGAATAGAGAAAAAGATGAAACAAAAACACCAAGTTTCTGGATATCTAGAGAGAGAGAGAGAGAGAGAGAGAGAGAGAGAGAAGATGGGTCAACCAAGAGAAAGCAAGGGAATTTATATGTTGAATATACAGGAGAAATGAAAAAAAAAGAAAGAAAAATATTAGGATCAAAAGATAGATATTAGGGAAATTGAATATGAAGACAAGAAGAGAGAGAAATAATGGAAACGGGTTGTCATTTTCTTTATGTAACTTATTCTTTTATTAATTTCTTAGCCAACTGTTTAAGATTCTTCTTTAAATGATCAAATAGGGTAAAGGTTGAAACCTTCAAAGCCAAGACAAAGTAAAGCCAAACGTGATGTACACATGGATAGTTTTCAGGTTATGCAGTCCAGAGAAAGTTAAGATAATCTACGTATGGTAATAATTGTAAATGTTGCCCTAATATTTCATTAAAATGACAAAGTTCCCCCCTTACAATTAAAATACTTCCAAGTTTCACCTTATATAATTACATATCTCTTATCAAAAACTTACTACAGTAATATCTTTTAGTTTTTAAAAAAAGCATGACTGTTATAAAATCTGAACTAGCATCTATTGACACGAGTATCTATTTACATGTATGAAGCTAGTGTTAATTTATTCTCTCACAAACATAACGTGTCAACTTATAATTGATTAGTTTGTATTTGATCAGACATGATCTATTATGAATTGATTAATTGTGAACTGACATATTACGTTTAACGCGATAAAAGAAAATTAGTTAAAAAAAGTTTATCAAGATAGTGTTACTCGTTAATATATAAAAGGATAATACAAGATTGTGGCAAGAGTCATGGCTCCAACTCCAACAAAGTGTGGTTTTGCTAAGAAAAACCACGTAATTTGGAAGTCAAGTGGCTGAACGACTTCCATCTATCCAAAGTTTGGCATAAAGACAGATTGATACCCAAAAAGTTTGGAAATAACAAACAAATACTTTATGTCATATTTTGTTAGGAATTTCTGTTTGCTAAAAGACAATATAGTAATTCTATTCCCACTCCAAGCCCGTTTGCCTAGCCCTCTTACGTCATTGATCAATTTTTTGATCGGATTTAGCATTTTTCTGTAAAGTTCGGTGATAAACAGTGGTACTGGCCCTTGCTGGCGCGCGTTGAGAATAAAGATCGATGGATATTCCAATCTTTTCACTATTTTTATCTTTTAGCAGATAGAAATTCCAAGCAGAACATAACGAAAAGTGGATGTTTGTCATTTTCAAATCTTTTAGGTACCACTTTGTCTTTACAATAAACTTTGAGTATGCGTAAGTCGCTCCACCGAGTCAGGTTGTATATTCATTACGTGTAGGGAATCGTATTAAGTATTGGGGAACCTGTCAGTGCTGTGTTTGATTTGATGAATTATTGAAAGCCACGTTGGTCTGGGTAGGCTTTCGCAAAAATGAAATATAACCATAATCGTCTTCTTATTTTTTTTAAATATAGGTTGTTGGGTGGCACTGGTATCAGCCTGTCTTTCATTTTCAGCTTAGTTGAAAATTGAAATCTCCCTTAACATGCAAAGGTGTATAGGAGACCAAGATCATTATTGTATTGATTAATCTGTTTATGGATAATATGGGATTTGGGGTGTCATTCTTTGTGTTGACTTTAGCGTTCATCATCTACTTCCTGGATGCTTCCTTCAAGATGTTTCCTTCAAGGTAAACAGTAAACTACATATTTTAAATCTTAAAATTTAAAGGGGTTTGTCATTATAATAAGATAAAATATGTTGAACTCGCTTGAATTCAAAACTGAAACCTCCATTGAACTTTAAAAAATGAGAAACCACAAAAACAAACCATATTTTGATTAGAAAGTGATGCATCTTTTGGAGCAGGGAATATACCAGAATGAAGCACACAGCCAAAGTTGAATGGAACCTTACAATTGTCAAAGCAATTTATTAGACCAAAGACATCAGCCGACAGAACAGTGAATACTTTTGCAACAACTTTGAGTGAAGTAGACTACATTTATGGTATGTAATAAATATAGACATCGTTTGCAATATGAAAATGCCCCTCAGTATTGTAGTGTTATCCACTTGCAATATTTCTCAAAGTCAAACTTAGGCTGAGCAAAATGCAGAACAGTATATCTTGTGGTGGGCTGGTGCTGCAATGCAACACACGCCAGATAAAATACTTTCCATTCTGTTTGTGTTGCAAGTTACCAGTAAGCACCATACAAAGAGTAACCCTATTCATTTCTTTGTTTGCCATGATAGACTGAAATTACTTGCTCTTGGGCTTGATTTATGGCTTCAGTGCTATCCAAGCAACAAATGAAAAATACCAAAGAGCAATGGTATATTTACGACTGAGTTATATAATCAGATAAAAAATAAAGGATAAAGTAATCATTTTATATGAATTTTGTGTAATTTTTATCTGATCGTATGACTCGATTGTAACAAAACATTATTGAAATACCAAATTAGATGTTCCATGGTACATTTGGGGCACAATTGATGACAAAGCCATTGAAATTCTGCATGAACACACAGGAGCCTTCAAATCAAGATAGAAGAAAATTCTATAATACCAGATTGTATAAATACTAGAAATGTTTTGTCCATTGGATAATGATGAGTAACTGCTTTTTCTTTATCCAATGGTATTAACTACCCCGGCGCGATTATACCAGTATCATAGATGCATTTGGAATGATCATATGTACAGCTTACAACTGATAGCTAGGGATAGTGTTACAACCTTACTAGAGGAAGGACAAACATCCCCACATAATAGTCTGGAGAGATCAGCACTGTAGTTTTCATCTCTGTGATCATGTCCTACAGAAGAATGTAAAGCTCTAGCTAATTAATGATTCCCAAAGTTCCAGTGATTTCAGTCCAGTAAGCATCACTCCTATTATGGTCAGGCGTTTCATTTAATTGCCTCTAGTATGTCCATTACTAATCACTCTCAACGATATTCGAAGATCACCACCATGATAGCATGCACACAGGCTCTCAAATTAACCATTAGATTATGGTAAATAAACATCTTCAAACAAATTAATTTATAGTCCCCCCCACAAGGACTCTTTTGATTACTGAGGCAATGCAATTCACTCTGTCCTAAATACATTCTATCACTAGACATACAGCTCTCAACAAAACGATATATATATATATATTTTTAAATACCTAACATCATATTTTCCCCTGAAGTAGGCCCTATGGGTGTCACACACTAGCGTAACAAATTAAATCACGTGCATACATTTGCTACGGCCTACTTGGGAGAACAAAGGTCATGAAAAACACAAGAGAAACCCAACACAGAGACAGGATCATACCATGGCGTAAGGAATATTCCAACAAATTCAGCTGTGGTCTTTTTTCCTTGTCATGCGCTACATATGAGTAAAGTAACCCTCTCTAAAAAGATGGCACATTCTAATCTTAAAAAAAGAAAGTTATAGAGTCATGCTTTATGTAGGACAGGAAAGTGAAGATATGGCCCTAATATAAACTTTGAACCTAAAGCAAACTATTAAAAACACGGTCAGTTTTATGCTCATTAATATCCCCAAAAAAAAAAATAAAATTACAAATCCTATTATATAATATGATTCCACAAACAAGATCCTTACTGTTTCAAACTGTGTTCTAACCTTATATTCTTAAGGGCGGGGGAAAAATGGAAAAAAAGAAAAGGACATCACAAGATCAAACTTTAAATGCAAGTTAGTATTTTATGCCAAAGTCTAGGTAAACTATAACTGGAGTGATATTCAATACTGAGGTCTGAATTATGATGAACAGAATCACAAATAAGTTATGCATATTGCTCTTAGTTACATGTCAAGCAATTAATCTACATCAATTTTGTGGCACTATATGGACAGTCTTATATATCAACAACTATATGACTCCAATACAAAAAAGCAGAGGATCTGCAGTATTACCGTGGCACTTACCAGCATCTTGTTTTTTCATCCAGTAATTTCAGAAAATAGTCTTAAAAAAACCAAGCATACAAGTTCTAACAAGTTTAATGCCCAGAAAATGGAAAATGCTAGTCTTTCAAAAGTTACCGAGAACTTTTAAAAATCTAACTTGGTCTTCATGATGAACAGGAAAACATTTAACTCCCCACTGTATTCAACCCTACTCAAAGCAATTGATTATGACCAGCCATAAAAAGATAAGCTTTATTAATCATTTTTTACATGGGTTTATCCGTTTTCTAGCAATCTTTGTAGAGAATCAATCTCAGCTACTCACGGTACTGGAAGGTGGAAAGATAATAATGGAGAAATTACAATAAAACCCCCATAATTTTCATCCCCAAAAATACAGACAATCAAAATACAAGCAGGTGCATGCAAACAAAAGCAATAATAGCAGATTCAAACTAACAGCATACAAACTGTTGGTTGTTTCCAAGTCATTCTGTTCTTGCCCATAGAAAACATCATTCTGATGATGATTGAAGGCAGTGAGCAAACATTAAAGATACACGTCAGAGCCTGCAGTTTAATCAAAATTTAGCATGATCCAAAATTCTGGTACAATGCGCCTCGTTTTCTAGTAAGACATGCATCAATTCTAAATTTACAACCAATCATCCTATATCAATTTCACCTGATCTTAGCTAAACAGTTTTGTTCCACACAACAAATGGAAAGAAGTCCTGTACTTTGGTGTCCAAATAATCAAACCTGAGAACCATATTCTTAAATTTCACTACTTTTTCAGAAAACTTTTCACAATGAAAACTTTAAACAAATATTACTTTGAAATATAAGTAAACAACTCTCACACATTCTTAACCCTACTAGACCTGTCTAGCAATGCTAAAGGCAAAAAGTTGTAATCACAGATCAATCAAAAGTGGAGTTGAAAGTTCCTCATATTAGTTACAATTTGATCATAAAAGTGATCACAATGCCCATGGATGATGAAATTATTCAACAAAAAATAAGAATTTATCAAACTAAGCAAAATCCAATTGCATCTAATGACAATTAAACACAGATCCACAATTCAAATCATGTTAAGCACAAATCTCTACTAAGAAGAAGAAAAAAATACACTTTTTCTCATCTTCTGCCTTACTTCTTGACTACCGCAATTCAATCCACATCCACACTGGGGACACTCTTCAAAATTATCAATAGGAAAGCCAGCACCAGCAATCCCAACAGAGAAATC